AGGTGTTGGCTTTGGGGATGACCAGTGAGATATACCTGCTGGAGTGCATACTACGGGTGGGTGTTGTTATGGTGACCAGTGAGCTAAGATAAGGTGGGGATTTGCCTAGCAGTGATTTATAGATGACCTAGACCCAGTGGGTTTGGCGACGAATATGTAGTGAGGGCCAGCCAACGAGAGCGTACAGGTCACAATGGTGGGTAGTATATGGGGCTTTGGTGACAAAACAGATGGCACTGTGATAGACTACATCCAATTTGCTGAGTAGAGTGTTGGAGGCTATTTTGTAAATGACATCGCCGAAGTCAAGGATCGGTAGGATAGTCAGCTTTACGAGGGCATGTTTGGCAGCATGAGTGAAGGAGGCTTTGTTGCAAAATAAGATGCCGATTCTAGATTTAACTTTGGATTGGAGATGCTTAATGTGAGTCTGGATGGAGAGTTTACGGTCTAACCAGACACCTAGGTATTTGTAGTTGTCCACATATTCTAAGTCAGACCCGCCGAGAGTAGTGATTCTAGTCGGGCGGGCGGGTGCAAGCAGCATTCGATTGAAGAGCATGCATTTAGTTTTACTACCGTTTAAGAGCAATTGGAGGCTACGGAAGGAGTGTTGTATGGCATTGAAGCTCGTTTGGAGGTTTGTTAACACAGTGTCCAATGAAGGGCCAGATGTATACAAAATGGTGTCGTCTGCGTAGAGGTGGATCTGAGAGTCACCAGCAGCAAGAGCAACATCATTGATATACACAGAGAATAGAGTCGGCCCGGGAATTGAACCCTGTGGCACCCCCATAGAGACTGCCGGAGGTCCAGACAACAGGCCCTCCGATTTGACACATTGAACTCTATCTGAGAAGTAGTTGGTGAACCAGGTGAGGCAGTCATTTGAGAAACGAAGGCTATTTAGTCTGCCAATAAGAATGCAGTGATTGACAGAGTCAAAAGCCTTGGCCAGGTCGATGAAGACGGCTGCACAGTACTGTCTTTTATCGATTGCGGTTATAATAATGTTTAGGACCTTGAGCGTGGCTGAGGTGCACCCATGACCAGCAGAAACCAGATTGCATAGCGGAGAAGGTACAGTGGGATTCGAAATGGTCTGTGATCTGTTTGTTAACTTGGCTTTCAAATACTTTCAAAAGGCAGGGCAGGATGGATATAGGTCTGTAACAGTTTGGATCTAGAGTGTCACCCCCTTTGAAGAGGGGGATGACCGCGGCAGCTTTCCAATCTCTGGGAATCTCAGACGATACGAATGAGAGGTTGAACAGGCTAGTAATAGGGGTTGCAACGCATGGGCAAGTTGCAGCGGAGGGTGCAGAGCTGGTGGCCGGGGTAGGGGTAGCCAGGTGGAAAGCATGGCCAGCCGTAGCAAAATGCTTGTTGAAATTCTCGATTATCGTAGATTTATCGGTGGTGACAGAATTTCCTATTCTCAGTGCAGTGGGCAGCTGGGAGGAGGTGCTCTTATTCTCCATGGACTTTACAGTGTCCCAAAACTTTTTGGAGTTAGTGCTACAAGATGCAAATTTCTGTTTGAAAAAGCTAGCCTTTGCTTTCCTAACTGATTGTGTATATTGGTTCCTGACTTCCCTGAAAAGTTGCATATTGCGGGGGCTGTTCGATGCGAATGCAGTACGCCACAGGATGTTTTTGTGCTGGTCAAGGGCAGTCAAGTCTGGGGTGAACCAGGGGCTATATCTGTTCTTAGTTCTGAATTTTTTGAATGGGGCATGCTTTTTTAAGATGGAGAGGAAAGCACTTTTAAAGAACAACCAGGCATCCTCTACTGACGGAATGAGGTCAATATCCATCCAGGATACCCGGGCCAGGTCAATTAGAAAGGCCTGCTCGCTGAAGTGTTTTAGGGAGCGTTTGACAGTGATGAGGGGTGGTCGTTTGACACGTAATTACACTGTAATAAGGACCCCTTAAACCCTTAAGGACCCCTTAAAATCAAGTGTTACCAAAAGAAAATCAAAATGACTGCATTAAAAATAAACAGTAAGCTATAGGTTATTTCAATTATATTGTCCAATCAATTTAGTTATATTTTGCTACTTATAATTTGTCTCAAAATATTTCATGATGTTTAGCCTAACAGGTGCGCAATGATGTGCCCAATCTGTGATTTAGTGCATTTTTATTTAGTAAGCATAGAACAAGCCACCTCAATATTTGCAGCCGTAGGTGGTAATATCTCTCTAGGAGCTGATCCGTCGTCAGTATTGTGAAACACTTCTAATGTTAAGGAAATATTTGAATGGAGAAACCTGATTCAAGAGCTGAGCTCCCTTTCTTTAGATCCTATCAGTATCGACACATGCTCCAATGACGGACTTAGCGACCGTTCTCTCTGCATGGTGTTTTGTGAAACGTATGTTACATCTTCTTCCGTTGTAGGAAAGATGCATCTTTAAATCACTCGCAAGCCTAAAAGCCAATTTATGCTTGATCTGAAATGTGGTCGGAGAAGCCGTATGGACGGTGTGACGCAATTGCGGAGTCCCTAGAGGTACGCAGAGGCCAAACTGAGCTCCGTACCGCATTGCCATGTGCCTCTCAAATTCTCTAACAATGCAGAGGGCTCCTTATAGCTCTGCATTGACATGATTAGTTGACGGTAGGTGAGGGCGAGAGGTCCTGTATAAACACAAACTCACTTTCTTCACCACAGCTCTGCGCTGCTCGGCGAAAGCACAAGAAGTAGGAATGCCCTGACTTCTGCATATCACCGTAAATGCTGCACGGCCAATGCAGAACTCGGATTGACCAAGTAGCGCCTTTAAGTTCCATCGCTATCGGGAAACCCGGCCAAGGCCTATAAGAGACTGCACACAGAATGTTTACCTAATTGTTTGCATGCAATGAGTAGCCTATAGGCCTAATTCCAATCCACAATGTTGCAAAGCCATATTAGAAGCAAACGTGTTCCGATAAATTAGAGCATGAGGCTTTGAGGCAAGAAGCATACTTAATTGAGGTCACAGCAAGGAAATAATATTTAGGTCATATTCATAAATTAACTAAAAGAGAGCATAGATGTTAAAGGGCCAGCACAGTTAAAAATGTGATTTTACTGTGTTTTAAATATACTGAACAAAAATATAAACACAACATGAAAAAGTGTTGGTCCCATGTTTCATGAGCTGAAATAAAAGATCCCAGAAATTTTAAATACGCACCAAAAGCCCTCTCAAATTGTGCACAAAGTTATTTACATCCCTGTTAGTGAGCATTTCTCCTTTGCCAAGATAATCCATCCACCTGACAGGTGTGGCATATCAAGAAGCTGATTAAACAGCATGATCATTACACAGAGGCTGCTGCTGCCTATTGAAATCACTGGCCACTTTAAGAAATTGAACACTAGTCACTTTAATAATGTTTACATATCTTGCACTACTCATCTCATATGTATATACTGCATTCTATTCTATAATATTCTATTGTATCTTAGTCCATGCCGCTCTGTCATTGCTTGTCCATATGTGTATATATTCTCAAATCCCATTCCTTACTAGTTTTGTGTGTATTGGGTATATGTTGTGAAATTGTTAGATATTACTGCACTGTCGGAGCGAGAAGCACAAGCATTTCGCTACACCCGCTATAACATCTGCTAAACACGTGTATGTGACAAATAAAAATTGGTTTTGATTTGACAGGTGCACCTTCTGCTGGGGACAATAAAAGGCCACTCTAAAATGTGCAGTTTTGTCACAATACACAATGCCACAGATGTCTCATGTTGAGGGAGCATGCAATTGGCATGCTGACTGCAGGAATGTCCACCAGAGCTGTTGTCAGAGAACTTACAGTCCATTTCTCTACCATAAGCCACCTTGTTTTGGAGAATTATGTCCAACAGGCCTCACAACCGCAGACCTCGTGTAACCACGCCAGCCCAGGACCTCCACATCAGTCTTCTTCACCTGCGGGATCGTCTGAGACCAGCCACCTGGACAGCTGATGAAACTGAGGACTAGTTCTATCTGTAATAAAGCCCTGTTGTGAGGAAAAACTCATTCTGATTGGCTGGGCCTATCTCCCAGGCCCACCCATGGCTGAAACCCTGCCTAGTCATATGAAATCCATAGATTAGGGCCTAATTTATTTATTTCAATTGACTGATTTCCTTATATGTAACTCAGTAAAATCATTGAAATTGTTGCATAAATTACTGTAGTTAGACCAATAAGAAAGAGAGCTCCAAACCTCTGCCAATGACAGCTCATTTTCAGTTTTCCCTTCCCCACTCAGACAGTCCTACCAAAATTCTTGCTTGAGAAATTGCTCTTTGCTAAGAAGCTATTTTTTGTTTGTTTTTACCATTTTGATTTAACAAATCACAGTAAAGTACTTAATTGTTACCAGAAATGATTTGATATTGAAATACAAATGGCTGCAGTGGACCTTTAAATGTTACCCTACATTATGTTTTCGGTTTAGGATAGTTTAGCAGACTCCATGGATTTCAGGGGCACTCTTTCGCAATTATATAACAGTTTTCCATGAACAATTGGAATTACTTTTTATTTCCAAACCTGAAAGAATGTAATAAAGTGCCGGTCTGATTCTGATAGAAGCCTACACCTTCGGGTGCCCCTGTTGCGTCGCGGTTGCACTTGCTCTGGATGTGTAGCTCTCCAAAGTACCGCTTCCATAGGACCCACCACTTCCCACGATACGCCTACCAGCTCCCAACCCGAGTCACGTGTGCCCCCGCCTAGTATCTCTGAGCCGAAGCTAGTAGACAAATCAAACTAAACCAGCAGCACCCAGTGGAGACCGGAGGGATGGAGACGCAGAGAGAACGCCGTTCGCTGTCGGAAACCAAATACGCTGAAAAAAAGATTGACTGTTAAATAAAATACTCATCTATCGATGGAGAAGGAATTAATTAACCCAAGGGGAACAGAGATGCGAACCTCGTTGCCGTCGGGGCTGTGCAAGTCGTCTCTGCTCAACAAAGGGAAGGGCTGCTGTCAGTAACCATGAGGGCTGTGTCGGCGAACTTACTTGCACTGCTCTTTCTCTGCACTTGTGCCTGTGTATTCTACGTATGGAGCAGGCTGGAGAGTCGGCTGGAGAGAGACAAACGGGGACTACAATTATCGAGCTCCTTTCACGTTGGGCCATCCCCGGACATCTCCGCTAAAACTTTCCGGGCTTTGCTAGCTGTTCCAGCCGCACAGAGACTGCACTTGGGGGGCAGACTGGATGTCCACAATCTTACTGGTGTTAGGGATCAAATTGGCTCTTTAGGAAGCAGAGATTACCATATGAATGTAGATAACAAGGGGTCAGCACAGAGGGGGGTCCCGGGCAAATTAGGCTCTCTCCTTGAGGGTATTTTCTGGAGTGAAAGACTTGAGGCTCAGCTTCCCGCCAGCTTCAGCGAGGAACATGCCCTAGCATGGAGAGAGAGAGCCCGGGGACACCGGATAGTCAGACTGGAGCCAGGCTGTGGTAGAATATCCAATCAGCTGGCTACTTTTTCGGACGGAACCAAAGCTTGCGTGCGTTATGGAATAAACGCGGAACAGGTGCAGGGGGAAACTCTGACTTATTACCTGGCTAATTTGCTAGGAATTACAAATCTACCGCCGCTTATCCTTGCCCAGTTGAACGTTGACAGTGAACAATGGGCTTCTGTTAGGAGAAGAATAGGCGGTTTACAGTGGAGTGAGCGGGCCGTGGTCTCACTCACAGAGTGGGTCGCCAACCTGACCGGGGTAGTCACACCTGCGCCGCTGCGCCAGGAGAGCAAGGGGCTGCGTCCTCTGCAAGGGGAACTGGGGAACAAAACCACCGCGGAGCTGCTCGAGCTAATGCAGTGGACCGACCTGATAATATTGGACTACCTGTCTGCTAACTTCGACAGGCTCGTAAGCAACCTCTTTAGCCTGCAGTGGGACTCGCGCGTGATGGAGAGGGATACCAACAACCTGCTCAGAACGCCCCGCGGTGACCTGGTTTTCATAGACAACGAGGCAGGGCTTGTACACGGATACCGGGTGCTGGATATGTGGGAGAAGTACCACAGCACCGTCTTGGGCTCCGTGTCTGTGTTCAGAAAGAGGACAGCGCAGCGCGTGATAGAACTGCACCGGCGCAGGGACACCAGGACTCGGCTGCTCGAGCTGTACAGAGACAGCGAACCTTTGTCTCCGGAATTAGGTTTTCTCTCCTACGAACACGCAGGAGTATTACAGAACCGAATAGACAGATTATACAAACACATATCGCATTGCAAGGAGGAGTACCACCAGCTGTGAGCATTTAGTTCTGATTCCTCTCATATATATGGTTCTGTGTCTCGCACCTGCCACACAGAATGACGTGTGCTGCTAATCAGTAACCTAGCCCAGTAACCACACACCTGTACTAGATTAACGCGCGTCAATTGAAACGGTTTTTGAATATATTAATGAACTACCTCGTGTAAACCAATGTTTTGCCTACTTTATATGTCTGGATAAAATATTGACGTTGTTTTTTTAGCTTCGTGCAGGATATGCCATAATTTATTTTCACCCAGCCTCAAAACATAACTGCAATATAATAACGTGATGAGAGCCAATGCATCTTTGTACCTATTTAGGTTTAATGGTCAGCCTTCAATCTCTCCAGTTTGATACACAATTGTGTTCCTTAATAGGAATCAGCTATTGTGGTGTCAGGGGGGTTAACAATAACCACTTTGTATCATCTTTATGGGCAAGGTGCATTGTGCTTAATATTTTCAATAAGAAACTGACTGCTTGATCATAAGAACCAAGCCTTAATAGGTTAGTCCTAAATAGTTTAGTATTTGTTGACACATGCATTTGTGATGTACAATTTGTCACCTGTCACATCCTTTTATAGAAGCTCTAGCCTACTGTACAATCAACTGTCAAAGCAAACACTCATTTTCATGTATTTGGTTGTCTTATGATTGTATCTATAGCCTTAATGTCATGACCCAGTCATATTTGTTGTACATGCTGTAAGTATGTGAATACTGTATCTGTTAACCAGTTTTTGACATTCACAATTGTAATCTACTTCACTAATTCAATGTGCATTGTAACATTCCAATCTTTCTGTCTTTTTGTTAAATATATTGTAATTTAAGTTGTCAGACCACGTGTTTCGTGTTCAATCCTTCTTCAGCGGGGTACAATGGTGGGTCAAAAATGTGCCTGTTCCGTGTGTGCAGTCCTGGGGTTTTTATATAAAGGGCCCCATCCCATCCCTGTCCACTACAGTGCACCCATTGTGCTGTTGAAATGCCGTGCCCTCAGAGCCTGTTACCAGGGAACTCTGAGCTCTCTCGCTCTCTCTCTCTCTCTCTCTCGCTGTGTCTCTCTCTCTCGCTCGCTGTCTCTCTCTCTCTCGCTGTCTCTCAAAGCTCTAACCCCCCTCCCCTTATCCAAGCTCTGCTTAAAGGCACAATCTGGGAAATTTTCTGCTGTTCATGGTCATTTGAAGTATTTTTTTTTCTTGAAGATTCATATAACAGAGAAATGTATCATAGGCCTATTAGAACTATCTTTATCATAACGCGCAGATATCAATGCTTTGTCTTGGTGGTGCTATTTTAACAGTTACTGGTGTTAAATATATTAACAAAACTATTACTAGTGATGACTTCGCTATTTGAATTCAGCCTCATGTAAAAGTTATTAAAAGGGTTGTTAAATGTTTCATTTTATTGAAAGACAAAGGATTTCACCACACTGTTCATAACCACAGGAGGTTGGTCGCACCTTAATTGGGGAGGACGGGCTCGTGGTAATGGCTGGAGCGGAATAGGTGGAATGGTATCAAATACATCAAACACATGGTTTGATGTCATTCCATTTGCTCCTTTCCAGACATTATTATGAGCCGTCCTCCCCACAGCAGCCTCCACTGTTCCTAACCCGTCTATTTCCCTGAGGCCTTTTTGTTATTGTTCCCTCGACCATTGCATCATGGAGCCACAGCATTTATTTGAAACAAATGGTGTCTTCATTAGTTTATTTGAAGGGTTCATTTTATTGTCAGACAAGGTGAAGGCATCTGACCAAATCCATCTGCTAACCTGAGGCCCCTTTTTTGTTATTGTTACATAAACTGCCACATCTTGGAAGCACAGCATTTATTTGATTTCACAAACTAAAGTGAGTCTCTTTCTCATTAGTTCCACAGCGGCCTCTCAGGTGCCTGTGATCTCCTGTATCCAGACATGCTGGAGGCACATCGTAGGGATGTCAGTGATAATGTTTGAAGGGCTAATGGTTTCCAGCCCTCCCTTCATGCCTCTATCCCTCCATCCCCTCTCTCTATCCCTAATCTCTTCTGGTTCCTTTTACACCTTTTGTTGATAGCTAGCTGCAGGGCGCTCCATAACATTTAATCATCCTGTTCCAGGCAGAGGTAGGGTTGGGGAGGGGAGAGGAGGGGGCTGCACTATGAGGAGGGGTTTATGCACTATGAGGTGCCTTATCCTGACTTCTATGAGAACACAACCCGTGGTGTCCACTACGCGTGTCACTGCCATCGATCTGTGTTTCTCCCTATTAGGGAACGATTAGCGGCCTGAAACGCGGCTGGGGTTTGAGCAGGTGGAGCTGGAGGCTTTAGCAGGGCTAGCTGCCTCCCTGGTGCCTGCCTTTTTGCCTGCCTTCCTGCTTGTTGGTCCTGTAATAGGGATTTTCAGATCAATAAGTGCACTGACTGCTGTGGAGGGGGAAAGCAGGTCATTTTAACAGTGGTCTGGGGAAGGGGGAGGCAGAGGAGTATGTGGGGGAGGTAAGGGCCAACCGTCCAGGAAATTTACGACAGGCTGCAGACACCAGAGATTAAAACCAATGTTAAACCTAGGTCTGCATGCCTAAATAAGACTTGCACCCCACCCTCATTCCCTCTATCCCCCTCTCCCTTCGTCTACCCATGTCCCTGCCTAGCATCTGTCTATAGTGGTTAGCTAAATGGAAAACAAAGGTTCTATTTTCTTAATAGTTATTTTTTTTATATATATGTTTTGCATGAGAAACCCCTCTTGTTTTTTACTATGGCTCATGTCACTTCTAATGGATTGGGTTTATATGACACTAGCGGCTGATATCAAAGCCTTTTGTCAGAACTGCTCCTAACAGATCAGATGTTCGCCCTCTTACTCAATGTCTGGCTTGTGTCAACTGGCCACAAACCTCACAAAATGTACCGCCCCCTCCCCTCTATCCCACCACCCTCCCACTGTCCACACTGAGGCAGTGAACTCTCCAAGCCCCCCTATGTGACATGGCCTCATTATGGCAACTCCTCATTGGCCACTGCTAAGGGCAGTGGTTTTTATTCAATCCATCTGGACGTGTGAGCTAGTTAGCCATGCAGAGCGCAGGGGCCAGGCCTCTATGGCCGTCCTCTGGGCCTATTCATGCTCTGTTTGTTGTCAGTGTCACAGGGCGGCCAGGGAGCCAGGCAGGCACAGGCAGCTATGTACTATAAGCAGGCAGAGGCTCTCTGCTCTCTGTAGTCCTGAGGCCCTATCCAAAAACAACCCCTAGCCCTACATCCTACACTTGGATTTGAAAGTATTGGATTGGTAGCTACCATATCCAATATGGCAAACATTCCTCCTAACCTAGGTCAAGCTACCGCCATATTGCTTATACCTAACTATCTAATATTTTCAGATCTACATGAAGTACTTTCAGGGTAGGAGCTAGGGTTGTTTGTCTCTGGATGGGGCCTGAGCTTATAGAGTAAAGGTAAAAAAACAGATCCTCTCTCCCTGGTCTGCAATCCAGAGACTCCCACACTGCAGACATACCTGAGGAGGCAAGGGTGGACCTCCATACACACACACACACAACCCAGAATCCCGCGAGCGGGTTAGACACAGCTGTGTATTGAAGCTCAGCTGTCGGCAGTGAGGTTTTCACTTATTTCTTTAATGATCTATTTGATCAAGGGCACACGTTCAGATAATGTTATTTTCAACAGGTCAGGTTGTCATTTGAAAACAGGGATACTCATGACTTTGATATATAAATAGAGTATACATTGTTTTATATTCACTTAACACAAAGCAATTTCTACTAAACAATATTGTTTTGTATTCGCTTCAATAAAGATGTCATAGTTGTGAATGTCAACTCAGTGTAAATAGCCTCCACAAAAATCAACTCAACAAAACAGCACAGAGTAACAACTGGGCCTCAGTTGCCAGATCCCAGGGGACTATCCAGCCTGGCTCGCTTTAGAGAGGTGGCCATGTCCACATCGTGGGCCAGTGGACGGACATAACTGGCATTCCTTCGTGGCTGCACAGTACATGGTACTTCCTGTCCGTGTGCGTAAGTGAGTGACTTCATTATAAAGCTGTGTGCATACTAGGGGGAGAGGAGAGTCACTCAGTCACAGTTGACTGGTTGCAGGCCATGGCAGGGGTATTGAGGGGCTGGAGAACACGGACTGGGGGCTGGAGGGAGAGGGGACTGGGGTACGTCAAGGGGCTCGGACTGTGGGGTAGGAGAGCACATGCTGGGGTACCAGAGGGAGAGAGGACTAGAGGAAATCAAGGGGCTTAGACTGGGGTGCTGGAGGGAGATGGGACCTGGGGGGATGGAGGCCAGGGAATGGAGGCACAGATCAAGGTTGGGGAGCTAGAGAGGTGCAAGGGTATTAGGGGATTGGTGGGCTAGAGGAGGGTAGAGATTGGGACTGGGCAGCACGGCCAAGGCTGGGGGACAAGGTAATTGAGGGGCAGTAAGTGGGGGGGGGGCGGAGAGCAGGAGCTGGGATGGCACAGGCTGGCACGGGGAATGGGGGGCTAGAGGAAGGGAATGGTGAGGACTGTGTGGTGTGCCAGCCAGGCAGGCGAGCTGGCATTTTGCCTGGTTCAGTCAGAGCAGGGTCATTGTCCTGGGGGTTACCCTGTTAAACCCTCCATGCAGAGACAGAGGTAGGAAGGCATGCAGGAAGGTGGAGAGGCAGCTAGGCCTATTGAATTTCCTAATTTAAATGAATTTAAATTCAAAACACATACGGTTGCATATAATTATAGAGTTTTGGTTATGCTGTTTATATAATGTGATTACGTGAGTGGTAGAGGGAGAATTGTGTAAGAGGTGGACATTTGTTTATGATAATTTTTATCCCAAAGGGTTATCTGTTTTTATACGTATCTACTGTATATCCCCACAACTGCATTAATCTATAGTGGCTGGCTCTGCTTTTACATTTCTCTGTGTGATTGTGTATGTGATAGAGAGATAGAGAGAGAGAGAGCAATAGAAAGAGA